ATCAGGCACCATTCGCCGGGCGGCCAGAACGGCGGGGGGGAGGAGGGTCGGGGGTAGGCTCTCCTTCTCCTCGGCGGTTGGGACGGATGAGGGGAGTAGCGGAGACGGGGGGGGTCGCGGGACTACGGCGGCGGGCAGGGCTGTGAGCAGAAGGTGGGTAGGGGTACGTACGCATTTTCGCGGCAACCGGTCAGTTGTATTCTCTCGCCGTGCAAGGTGTTGCACCAGTTTTTTTTTTCTGCCAAAGCACACCAGCGGAAAGCTGGCGCGTCGGGGCCTCCCCCTGTGTCCGGCTAAGTCTGTCATATCATCAGACACTGCTGTAGCACTGCTGTCGTGTGTACGAATGATAATGATCGGGTGCATGTAGTTTTTTTTTGTACGCTGTTCGCGTGCTCGTGCTATTCCTACATCCATTGAATTTGTATCCGGGCGTGGATATCTAAATCTAGCCAAACTACCGGCCGCTAACAAAACTCTTCCGAAAAATCACTTTCGGCCGCAGACGGGCGTCTACCCCGGCGGCCGCCGCGCCGACTCAGCAGCAGTCGACCCGGCAGCACGCGTCTTCGACGAGAAACTCGATGCGGCCGCCACCGCCTTCCGGGGTCTCCGCGGGCGCTAACGGCACCACCCCGGCTGGCGCCGCCCTGACCGGCCGAGCTTCGAGGTTGTCCACGGGGACGACAACAACAACAACGGCGGCGGAAGCAGCAGGGGCGGGGGCGACAAGAACGCGGAGTCCGCTTGCTGGCACGCCGATGGATGTTGACAGTCCCGGGGGCGGGGGCGGGGGCGGCGGCGACGGCGGTGCGCGAAGGAGATCGAGGGAACCGATCGATGAGCCTACCGCTGCTGGTGCTGCGGCGGCCACCCGCGGCGGTGTGCGCGCGCCGTTCGTGGAGACCACCCCGGTGGTGTCGCAGTCCAACCGCAGACCGACGACGCGGGCGTCGTCGAAGAGGACAAGCGGGGCCGGGAGGCAAACGGCGGCGGCTCAGAAGGCGGGATCGACGTCGGGCGGCGGCGTCAGCGGCAGCGGTGCTGGAGCTCCTTCAACACCAGCAGCAGCAGCAGCAGCAGCAGCAGCAGCAGCACCGCCACCACCACCGCCGCCGCCAGCGGAGGGAGAGGTGAGGCTGACGCGGGCCGAGTGGCAGTGCGTCCAGTACGAGGAGACGGTGTCGTACGCGGTGAGACACGCCGGCCAGCTCGCCCTGGCGGCGTCGGCGGGGGCGGCCGCCGACTCACCCTCCACCGCCGCCGACAGCGAGAAACCCGGGGACAGGGAGACCATGATGGCCGCGTTGGCGGTGGTCAAAGCCGCACACGCGACGAGCGTGGCCTTGGCAGCGCGGGGCGAAGCAGAGCAGGGGGACACTATGACCGGGTGGGCGGCCAAGCTCCAAGAGTCGTGCCGGGACGGGGGGGGGTCTCCAATACGTGGAGGCGGCGGTGGGGCGCGGAGAGAGGGCGGGGGGGGGGGAGACGCGGCGGCGGCGGGGGTCGGGTCCGGGGAAGGGGTGCGGGCGGTGGCGGCGCTGCTGCTGGTGTTGTCGAAGGCGTATCAGCACCTGATGCAGTTCAGGTGTCCCGAGGTGAGAGACGGGAAGAGGGTTATGTAGGATAGTGTTTTCCTCCGTCCTGAGGCGTGGTTCTTTGCCATTCTTTGATGCTGTTGTTTTTTGTTTGCGTTGTTTGTTGTTGATGTCGATGTTGGTGATGATGTTGTTGCGCCTGGTGCGTTGTTGTTGTTGATATCGGCGGTTGTTGTTGTTGTTGTCTTCGCACGCTCTCTGCCAAAGCCTTTCACGAAACACTCCCATATTCCCGTCTTGTCTCTCTTGGGTGACGCGCCGTATAACTCCCCCCCCCCCGCCCACCCTCGCGCTTCGGTGCTGTCAAAACATGTCCGAATCCGTTCTTCGCTCTCAGGCGCTGCAGGAGCTAGGGCGATTGCCCCCGCAGCAGTACTGCACCGGCTGGGTGTTGCATCAGGTTGGGCGGGCGTATTTCGAGAGGGCGGACTACGGGAACGCCAAGGTACCGTGATGCGCCTTCATATGGGGCTCCGTTGTACAATGAAGTGTGTGATCGAGAATGTCGATACCCCCCTTCTCTCTGTTTCCTCGTCACTCTTACACACGTTTCTTTGTTGTTCTTGCTCTTGCTCTTGTCGTTGTGTTCTTGTCGTTCTTGTCGCTGTCGTCATTGTGGCGGCGTGATGTTCGTTTTCTTTGGCTGGATCAGTCGGCGCTTGAGAGCATGCAGCGCTACGATCCTCACCGCATGGAGGGGCTTGATCTGCTGTCGACCACCCTTTGGCACCTCAAGCGAGACGTAAGTGACAGAATTTTGTCCCGCGTTATTTTTTTCTTAGTCTTCTTTGCCTTGCTCTCCTGCGTACGTGACTATCCCGTGTGGGCACGATTCGCTTGTTATTTTTGTCACATTATCCACAGATACATAGGTGTCCCAGAAAAAGAAGCAATTATTTCATGAGCGTAAAAGTGATCTCTCCGCCTCATGAGGGCATAGCAGTGTCATCAAGGGGTGACGCAGGATGAAAATGAAAGCAGGCACCAGGACCAACCCACAGCTGTCGGCCAGCTGCCAGTTGGTTGTGACGTTCCCCAAGCTCAAGAGTTGGCACAGCGCACGTGTTTTTGACGCGAACAGCCCAGCGAACCTCAACGAACCAAAAAAAAAAAAAACTGTTTTACGGCCTTGCGTGATGACAATTACGGTAAGATTGCGAGTCAGCGCACAGGGGTGCGATCGATTTTCAAAGCGTGGTTTCTCCACAACCAGGAGGGTGCGAGCGCCAACTGATGATGCTTCTCAGGAAAGCTCTCGATGAGATAATGCCAAAGCCGCCCTTGTCGACAGTGGTAGCCTCCTGGTTGTGGAGAAATAACGTTTGAAAATCGCTCGCACCCCTGTGCGCTGACTCGCAACCTTACGGTACCTTGTAGTACTGCTGTATGGTACCAAAAAGCGATGTCTCCCCTGTGGGTAACAAGGTCAGCAAGAAAACCTTTTGTTTTATATTCTTTTTTGTTTTCTTTTCTTTTTCAGGTGGAGCTGTCGTACTTGGCGCAGAAAGTGAGCGAGTTCGATCGCCGCTCGCCTCAGACGTGGTGCGTGGTTGGGAACTGCTTTTCCCTGCAGAAGGAGCACGAGACGGCGCTCAGGTTTTTCCAGGTGGGTGGGTGTTGCTCATGCCTGATTATCGAAGCGCTCCTCCTATGCCATTTTTTTGTTTGTTGTTGTGAGTTCGCGGTTGTCGTATATTTGTTGGAGGTCGTGTGTTTCATCAATTTGTTTGATGTTGTAAGTTTACGGTTTTCGTTTCTTCTCCGTTCATTCGTTGCTGTGAGTTGACGTGCGCCGTGTGTTTTGTCCGTTCTATTGGTGTTGTTAGGTAGTTCACGGTGGTTGAGCTCGTGAATTGGGCCGTGAAATCAACTACTGTAGGAAGCTTTTCGCCTGGGTTGGCGTGTTTCTTTGCCTTGTCGTTGCCCAGTTCGTCCTACTTGTACCCTCTCTGGAAACAAATCTCATGCTGTCGGTCGGGAACAATCTGCCTTGCGCCAACGTCCTCTTCCTATTCTTCCTTCTTTCCTCGGCCATGTAGTACTCACTCCCCATGTGTGTGTATTATTTTAGAGTTGGATGTGTCGATTCAATCAATCGATTCGATACGATAACGTCCGCGAAACGGCAATGTACAAATGTGTGCGTGCGTGTGTACCGATAAAAACGGCGCTCGCGCGATGTTTTTTTTCCTTCTTGTTGCCAAGCAGAGGGCTATCCAGCTGGACGCCGACATGACCTACGCGTACACTCTGTGCGGGCACGAGTACGTGGCCAACGAGGACTTCGACAAGGTGCGTTGTCGTTGCTGTGGTCACTGTCGTTGTCGTTGTCGTTGTCGTTGTTGTTGTTGTTGGTTGTTGTTGGTTGTT